CACAGCTGCTGAATAACTACCACTTGATCTAGTTTCTATGATAACACAGAGTGTCGAATAGAAATTATTCCTAAATAAATCTTGCAGTAACTAATCAACTCTACAGTGGACATTCGACTATCGTCATAAAACAGCCTGTTTTCACTACTGGCACAACCATCTTGAGGTAACGCAGTAATTCGTCTCATTTCATTAGTTATCTAAATCTGAATTAAACCTGACATTTCAACATGCTATTGTAATATAGCTCATTTTCAACAGTTATCCCAATATTTTTCTACTCTACTATATTCATCAAACAGTGGTAATTAGGTTATCTGATCAACATTGTTCGATGGTATGCATTATGGAACCGTGCTTTGAATCACTGCAATGAAAATAATCATCCTATCCGCACTAACTTTTCATGATCCAAAGTTATTTTTTTTTCAAAAACCAAAAATACGATATGTCTCTGAATTGAAATATCTAGGATTCTATGGAAGTTTTTTTGACATTACTCATAGATTTTCTCGGAGAAATATCATCTATATGCATACTGACGAACTTATTAGGAAATGAGAAGTTGAATGCTTATATTTACTCTTCCTTCGGAGTTATGATGATAATCTCATCGATCATTTTGTTTTTCAGAATAAACCATTTTATGCCATGTAAAGTAAGCATGGAGAATATTTTTTTCATTGCAGTAATGAAATACACGGTGTATTTCACACCTCGGCTCACAGCCAGCACAAAAACAAAATTTTGCTACATCACACACATTCACCCACAAGACACGGCTCTATCGTTACCATCGTTGTCTCGATGGTAACGGCTCTATCGATTCGAACGATTGAAACCATTGAACTATAATTAAACACGGGCACCCATGACTGAGAACAGAAGTTGAAATGAACGCGATCTGTAGCTTTGTAACCCCTGAACCTAATGGAGAACTAGAGAGAAATGAGCCGAATTACGATTGTCGATTGTCTGATAACCGTCATACAAGTGAATAGCTATAGTTACTCGTCAACGTTCAATGCTAGAAACCCAAACAGCTATGATTATTGGGACAAACATTATCTGATTTCACCATTGAGCATGATTCACGAAACGAGCTTTGTCAATGAAAAATCTAAAGAGACTAGAATTTATAAAATTCTCATAATGTCATAACTCACTCGCGTTATGATGGTAGCAAATGTCTTCTTCTACTTCTTCTTCGAAGCACTGTTGGGCGGGTGAACCCCCTGCACGTGGGCCTCCTTATTCGGGCCCATTGTGCGCCCACATGTTACGACATTCAGCTGGGTATGCCGACTGCCTTGGAAAAGTTCAGCAGCTTCCTCAGCTGAATCTCTTTTACGTCCTCTGGCCTCAAAATTATGTGGCCAAGGACAGACCTCCTCTGATGCGTCAGTGCTGGACACTCAGTGAGGACATGTGATGACGTTTCGTCATCTTCCAGGCACCATCTGCAAAGGGAGTCATCCTTGATCCCAATAAGCTCTAGGTGCCTATTGAGGTGGTTGTGCCCCGTTAGGAGCCCCACTACCATTTTCAGGTTTCGCCTGTTTAGGAATAAAACCTCTTTTGCGAGCCTCTTCGAAGGTTCCTTTATGTGGAGCTTCGATTGTCTCATTCCTGGTGTGTCCTGCCATATTTTGAGGAAATGCTTTTGCAGCTGTTCCTCTATAGAGGACATTGCCAGGCTATTTGGTATTCCCAAGATTGGTTCTGGTCCGACCGAGGTCCGCATGGAACCGATCTTTGCCAGTCTGTCTGCCCCCTCGTTTCCGGGTATTCCCGAATGTCCCGGGACCCACATGAGGCTGATTTTTCTTGATTTTGCCAGGTTTTTCGAGGCTTTTCTGCACTCGGACACCAATTTGGATGTGATCCTATTGGATTTCAAAGCCAGTATTGCAGATTTGCTGTCCGAGCATATAGTGATTGGTCTACGACCTCTCATAATTAGGTTTTCTTGGACGCAAGTGAGTATTGCAAGTACTTCTGCCTGGAACACTGAGGCATATTCGCCCAAAGGAACTGAAATTTCTGTACCTGTTTCTTCATTGTATACCCCTGCACCTGAACCGCCCCCAAATCTTGAGCCATCCGTGTACCAGATTGACTCATTAGGAGGGGGCACGCTAGGTGTTGTGTCATTCCATTCTCCCCTCGTAGGGATGACAGTGTTTGGGGCTTTGTTGAAATTCAGAATTGGCAAGGTATTATCCCTTCTCATCATGAGGATGGGACAGTTTTCCTTTGCCTTATTCCATATGAGGGAGTGTCCATGATCTGCTTCTGTTCCGACCCACTGGTTTGCACCGTTGAGTCGGTAAGCAGTTCTCATGGCTTCGTATTGTATGAACAGGTGTAGAGGCGGCAGACCTAACAGAACTTCAAGAGCTCTGGTAGGCGTCGTTCTCAAAGCACCTGTTATTCCCAGGCAGGCCAGTCGCTGGACTTTATCCAGTTCTCTGTTGGTCTTGTCCTTATTGGTACTGGTCCACCATACAATGGACCCGTACGTAAGTGTTGGGCGTATTACTGCCGTGTATATCCAGTGAAGGGTCTTGGGTGTGAGACCCCATGTTTTTCCAAAGGCTCGTCTGCATGCCCAGAAGCAGCATACAGCCTTCTTAGTGCGGTTTGCAATGTGCTCATTCCAAGTGAGCTTGGAGTCTATTATAACTCCATGTACTTCGATGTCTATTCAAGAATATTACAAACGGTTTAAGAAAGCGTTTTGTATAGTTACAGAATGGAGAGAATACTGTTGTGATCATAAAATGATCAGGAATAGGAGATATTTTCATAATGGTTATTACAATCAGAGCTGGAAGATATTTTTAATATTCAGTTTCTCTCAGTGTAGATCAAGCTGTTGAGGAGTGAAGTCGATTTTCGCACGAAATGAGAATCCTAGTTGTTTTGAGGCAGCTTTTGCGGAGAGTATTACTGATGGTGATACCAAGCAAAGATTTTGGTGGTATTGGAGGAACCAGATATTGTTATATCAGGCATACTGAGTTTCGCCCTTCAGAGGATAATATATGTTTCAGTTTTGGTGGCGTTGTATTCAACTAAGTTCTTGTTACCCCAGGCTGAAATTTCCGCAAAATCTGCATCGACAGCTTTGGCCTGCTGTCGTTGTTAGTTATTGGTTTCCTAGAAAGACATGAGAATTCTAGAAGAAAACGCAACATATGGAGAGTCTTTTCTCCTGCAAAGTTGTGCATAGGGCAAGTGGTTGCTCCCAATAGATTGTTGATTTGGAGTTGAAACAATTTTGGTGCCAAAATTGATCCTTCTGGAGATGATGGCAATGGTATCAGACGATATTCTGTCCACCACCACATGGAGCGATCGTTCTGAAAGAGGACTCGATGAAATTGCTTCTTTCCTTTTCACATTTCACAAGAATTATATATTTGTGAAACAACACAGATATGGAATAGATGGCACAGTATACAATTGGTTATCTAATTATTTGACCAACAGAAAACAACGGGTAAGAGTGAAACATATATCCTCTTGTGCAATAGAAAATGATGTTGAAGTTCCCTAGGGTAGTAAAATGGGTCCCCTTCTATTCATACTATATTTAAATGACATGCCATTGTTTGTTGCATGTGAATTCATGAATTTTTTTGCAGATGATTCACTATTGGCATGCAGTGATGAGAACCTGGAAATGGCTATACACCAATTGAATACTACTTTAGCAAGTGTCAACAGGTACTCGAAAATTAATAAACTTAAGTTGAATGTGTTGAGAACGAAAGCAATGATTATCACCACCAAATATAAATACAGCCGAATAAACTCAAAAAATATCAACCTGAACATTGATGATGAAAGAATTGAAGGAGTTAAAACAACTCAATATCTGGGATTTCAGGTAGATAACACTTTATCGTTTGATGAACACTTTGAGTATATTCATTAGAAAATTTCAAAGAAATTCTTCTTCTTCTCCAGGATTTCCAATAACCTTTCAACTGAGTCAAGAATCACAGTTTACAAGTCAATTGTTTAGCCACACTTTGACTACTGTTCATCAGTTCATCTATCCTATATCTTTTCAATCAGACTGAATTGTCTCAGCTCTGAAGACTTCAGAATCGTAGTATAAAGATCATTTTGAAGTGCGGTAGAGATACTCCAATTACTATTATGCTCAATGTTTTGAATTGGCAATCTGTTTCTCAAATACTGTTTTATTTCACAATGATATTCAAATATAAAATATTAAACAATTTAGGACCATCTTATTTCAAACAGTACATTGTCTTCCATCATGATATTCACCACCACTTCACTCGAAATAATAATAATTTATATACATATAAATAGAACGAATCACAAAAGCACTATGATCTCTTTATTTTTCAAGGGTTTTTATCAATTCAACAGATTACCAAATGCAATTAAGAATAGCCCATCTTTGAACATTTTCAGAAACGAACTGAAGAAATCCATATCGATTCTTCGCCCTGTTCAGGCGAAGTATCGTATGTACCATTTCTATAATTTCACAGGAGATGAAAAAAATTGGTATTCTTTATGTTCTTCAAGAGATTATCGTTAATTTATTCGTTTCATGTTATGTCATGTGATACCATTTGGTTATATCACTAGTTTTATGGTATTTTTCTATCTGAGAAGAAATAATTGGCGCTAACGATACTAATCATTGATATTTTGCTGTTATTCTCGAGCTTACGATATTTCTGACGTCGCTTAAGACATTCATCGATTATAACTTTTCTTCTAGGGGCATCGTAAACGCCAACATTCCTTTATTTTCAGTGAGAAGTAATTGACTAAGTAATTGACTTATTTTTATATTGTGAAAATGAATTGTTAATTAGTGCATTGAAACATTAAAAAAACTACATAGATTTAAAAAATATATATTATCAAAAATAGAACAAAACTAAGATAGGTCAGACGAGTTGTGGACTTATACATTAAATATTTCGTTGTTGGATTGACTCTTATCATTAGACTTCATCTTCCTCGTCTGTATCTGGTAGTACATCAATAATTTCTTTGGCATGTGGAAGAGTCTCATACTCGGTATAATAATCGCTGGTTATTGCCGTTTGCTTACAAAGTTCCATGAGATCCTTATACTTTGCTGCTGATATTGGCAATATCGAAGTATAACACTTCTTCAGTTCTTTATCATCGTCTTGAAGAGTAAATATTTGCTGATCTCCAAACTCATCGATATAGCTGTACCAAACTAGCATATTGGCATCTTCTGCTTCCATTTCAACAATCTGCACTTTTGATATTTGAAGAGGCTTTCCTTTGGCTGACTGATTTTTCTTCCTATTATCATTCGTCTGATTCACATCATCTTTCCTTTTTCTTTTTAATTTTCTCATATTCTGGGAAGATTCTTCAAATCCTACTGTATCTCTGGTCTCAGTTACTATGGGGTTAGACTGATTGGGAATAATTTCAACGATTGTTGAATAGTCATCAAATTCTTTATAATTCAACGAATACACACAGTAAGGTTGGGGATTGTGTCTTGCAAGACGAATAGCAGCTGACCACATGGATGGTGCATAGATCGTTTTCTTTGATATGAATGATTCTATTGTAGAGTGCATAGAGTCTACAGGCATGTATGTATGACCTGCGATCAGGTAATTAATCGAAATTTTCTTTATATGGTTTGGTCTTCTGAGAAATATATGAATCATCGCCAGAATTTGTTTGTTTTTATTTCGTCCACTGCAATTATCGCAGTACAACGATAGTTCATAGATTTCAGGAGACTTCTTTTGATCTAACATATTGATACATGTTGAGTGCTGTGCATATTTCGTTCGAACCTTTTTTTTCCCAATGATTCATTCCACAAGTTGTTGTTTCTTGTCCCTCTTAGACAGTGAAATTGTACAGGGCCATAATAGAATGAAACGCTATTTCCATGTGGTGTGGTAAGAACTTTTTGGAGATCAAAAGAAGCACACAGGAAATTTAGGTCAGAATTTTCGTGGTCATTCTTGAACTTAATACAACTTTTTTCAATCTCATCTTTATGGCGTTTGTAAGTTTGCTTGTCCTGTTGATTCAAATTGCATTCGCCAATGTTTTTGACTTCTTCGCAATGACTGCACTTGTCCTTTTTAGGAACATGAATACCCAAATTATATTCTTTGAATACCCTGAAAAAAGTAGATCTTCCACTGCAGTCTTCTTCACTATATTATGACAGTTCTCCTTGTATAACCTATATAGATTTGAAAAAATTCCTATATCTGATGACATGTACAGCTTCTTCGATTTGGGACGACAGTAGTGGGATGGCACAACCGGTATTTTTTCAATGAATTCCTTCACAGTTTCGATGTCACCTTCTTTTTTTATTTTTAGGTGCACTCCGACCACGAGAATTTTTTTTGATCCTTCCTGTTTCAGAAACATTGTCTAAAGATTGTCGAAGTGTCATCTGACTGATGTCGAGAGTCTTCAGTAAAAACTGTTGACAAACTCTATTTCTATATCTATATCTCTATATTCGTTCTGTATTACTATTCCATACTCTACTGTCTTGTTTCGTTTGGAGTGAACTTCCTTCGTTCGCTTCCGTCCCACATTTTTCACCTTCATACACCGCGATAGGTAAGTTTTCTTTTCCTCGTAGGAACTGGATTTGTGATACTTATCAAATATTAGTTGTCTATCACTTTCGCTCACATTCTTACAAGTGTTTCGACATTTTGTGTTCAAACATGGGTTTGTCCTGATTTTCTTATGAGCGCCAGCATCCCTCAATTTCTTTTTTTCCAACCTCTTGTTGATTTTTTTGATTTTCAATTTGGACAAACCAGTGTCATTTTGAGTGGTGACAATATTATGTGAATACTCATTTCCTTCTATTGATCGTGTTCCTTCAGTCAACACATTAACTGGATCCTCTTCATGCATTGCCTGAAAGATAATTCATCATTATATTTTCAAGAAATCTTCTTTCGGAGTGAATCGAAAGTTGAAACATAAAGTGAGGATGATATGAATAATATCAGTATTATTATAATGACTCACCTGAAGTTGGATATGAAAACTGCACTAAGTTGAACATTCATTGTTTTGTTGAACTGGAAGAACCGTTGATAATATACTTGTGCAGACCCGTTACCATATGAATGAGTTTCTGTAATTTGCTGAAACAGAATAATGAATATAATAATTCGATGTTATTATCAGCATGTCCAGATAATTTGACGACTTTCTATGATGAGTTCATTTCGGAGGCAACATTTCCTAATAATATAATTATGTAGGTACCTGGAAAACTTAACGTATTGAGTCCTACCTGCAACTGATTTTCAGGATTTTCAAGATTTTCGTCATCATCATTACAAGGAAAAGTCATGATGTAGTTTCCAAGAGTAGAGGCTTCAGCACAAGTTTTCTGTAAGTCTTCATCTGTCAATAACACATCAGTTTTGGGAATACTGGTGGAGTCTAGATCAGCTGAAATTAAAAATTTCGCGGTATTAGGGCGAATCCCGTATGATATAATAATGTTATTACTACATCGAAATTCATAATTCTATGTACCACATTCATCTCTTACCAACTACTGATAGTACTGTGCAAAATTAGAAATTCAAGTTTGAGTCTGTATTATCTGTTGAATGCACTGAGGTGAACTGTAAATCTGTCTGATTTTGGTTTAGAGCCACTGATTCATCTTTTTTTTTTTTCATTGATATTGACGTCATGCTCATAGGTTTTTGGTTCTTCCATTGTTTCCAAAACTGCGTAAGTAGTATTGATTCTTGAATCATCAGAGTTGCCTAGATTTGGATTGTCTGTTCCACTAGGTTGAATCGGAATAGATGACTGAAATAATGATCCTTACAAGAAAATGGGAAATGATACATTATTATTCACTGTAATAATTCTAACTGAAATCTACTGAAATTTACCTCCGTGTCTTTTTCGAGAAGCCGTTCTGGTATTAATCCTCCCTGTATGCCTTTATGAGAATCTTCGCCATCTTCAGATGAAATTGAATTGAATGGTTTGACAGAACATAATTCTAAACATTTCAACCCACGAGACAGTTTTCACGACCGCACACTCTGGATTCTAATTGAGCACTGAGGTGGTTACGATTTGTTATAATTCATGAAACAAAACTACATCATGGGGTCTATCATTTTTCACCTCAAAAATATCGTAAACGACAGGAGCATACGATATTATAACGAAACGAAGTGGCGTTTACGATTTTTTTACTACAAGAATTGCCATAACTGATACGAGTTTGGACCTGAAATCTATCGTAAGCGCCAGGCGCATACGATATTTCATTCAAAGGCTCATCGAATTTCGCAGGTTTGAACATGACAAAAACGTATGCGACCACCGCTCACGACATTTTTGATGGAATAGTGAGGCGGGTGCGATAATTTGAATTATACATTATACAAGCTACGGTGGTTTAGATGATAATTTTTGGAGCTTGAGATATTTCACGAATTCAACGGCGCATACGATGCGAAACTGTTTGTATTATTTTGACTATTGAACAATTTTTTGGAGCTTACGATAGTACGCCCATTTGGTGCGTCTTTCAAAGAATCCATTGACACCAGAAACTCATTTTCTCAAAAATGTCGCTTACGTTACATAGCTTGGACAGGGACGATTATGCTTGTGTTCAACAACTTTATAATGTATTCATCCAATGTTTGTCATATATTTCAAATCATTTCAATATGTACCACATACCTATTTTACTTTATATTTTCTAGTTTGTTTGTATACTAGGATATTCCTATTTCAATAAAAATCTATCTATCTATCTATCTATATTTGTTAAGTTTCTGAGAGGTCTGTACGATTTTTATATTCTAAACAAATTATCTAGAACACCACGGAACTGCTATGTACAGCTCTCCTCGATGCATATTGTTTCGATATTAGTAATTAGGTAAGTTGTTTATGTAAAGTTGATGAAACATGGTACCTATTCAGATTTATGGCACAATGTGAGGGGATTTGATTCTTGACTTCGGTCTAACTGATAGACGAAATCAATCAACTTAGAGATGTTTTATTTCTTATCTCTCCAACTTTTTCTTCGTCGCTTGGAGCGCACGAATGGAAATCCCTATAATGTTCAAAGAACATCGTGCGTTCCTAGGGAGGATAGGGACAGGAGGTAGGTATAGGAATTTTTTCTGAACTTCTGGAGATTATTTGTTGTTGTTTTGGTGCTGTACCCCACATGTGGGAACAGTATTCTAGAACAGGCCGTATCTGCGCTTTGGTAGATCATGAGAAGCTATTGAGGTGTAAAGTAGCTTTTCGCACGGAACAAGAATCCGAGTTTTTGTAAAGCGTCTTTCGCGATGGATCTGACACTTAAAATAAAGGAACCTGAGAGGATAACTGAGTTTATTACAACTCAGTTCCCTGAATTATAAGATTCAAAAATAGTGAGACATATTTCTGCAACGTACTTGCCTATTTGTAATGTATAAATGATACCAGTCGGTTTGTCGCTTGATACTGCCTGGAAATTAGGAAAAAACACATGTAGAACAATATGATCATATGAAAGGTTTTACTTTATTGCATAAATATTTTTGGTATATCCAAATTCTATTGATTCTCACATAATTTACCCTTCCGTAGGACAAGAAATGAGAATTATGATTCAATTTTCACATCATTCATAAGTTTCTTTCGTGTTCTGTGATATTTTGATAATTTCATATATATATATATATAGACTCATGCATTTACTAATCGTTCGAAATCTTCAAATTTCGTTTGGAGTTCAATTGGTGAAAATCATTACATGAAAGTTGGATACATTATAAAAAAATTACAAAGAATTTGTAACTACCGGCCAGATAGTAAGGCAGTTCAGATTGATAGTGACCAGAGAAAAACCATGTCATTGTTATTTTCCACTTTCGAATAATTATTATAACACCTCTGAAGACATCCTATAATACCACTACAGAGCGCGAAGCAGGTCATAAAATGCAGATGAGGAGAACGTAGTTCGTTTCTAGACAATGCATAAGTACATGTGCTCTGAAAAAATATTTGAATTCGACCAACAGATTCATTTGGGACGCACTGTACCTTTCTAGCTTAATAAGCAATTTATCAAGTCAGTTATTCTGGAACCATCAGAGTGAATGCAGCTTGCTCAATATTACTTCGGTTATATATACAGGGTGTTGCGAAATTCGACCGACAACGCTTGATAGGTGATGGCCTTTGTGATTTCATGATCACTGGCATATGGACATTCTGTCTTCAAGTGTTCAGTTCTCGAGATACAGGGCGTTAAAGTTTAGAAATGAAAATAGTTGTTTCGCAATATCTCAAGAAAACTTGAATATAATGCATTCAACTTCTGTATGGTTTCACCTTCGAATAGGCCATTCTTCGACCAGGAAGCCATTCCGGACATTTCATCCAGTGGTGCCCTACAGGGGGGTGTGGCATCTTTTCCTCCCATATTTTCTACGCCACTGATTGAATTTCAATTATTTCCAGTTCCTCGAATTCATTGTTCAATTTTGTTCAAAAAATGCAACACCCTCAAATGAGCTGAACTGAACAGTTTTCGAGATTTTCGACCCAA